GACATCTGTCAAATTAAAAAGCCAGATTAAAGAGAGATTACTGCTCATGCAAAGAAGTTGATTCCAAACTGAATCTTCTTCTTCCATTCCCAATCAGAATTAGCTCCACCTTCAGGGAGGCTTATGGGCCAGATGATGAGAATGCTGAATATTATTTGATTGGCCAGCTCTCTTAAAGTCAGATGAAGGGACTTGTGCTACATCCTTTCTGACCCTGTCTGTTCAACAGTGTTTCCCAAAAAAACCAGAAGTGATTTTGGTTTCTTACCGGCTTCCTGGGGCTTGCTGGCCTTGACATTCCAAGTCCTCCTGTTCTTCTAAATCAGATTCAGAGTCTGAGGTAGCCACCTTGAAATGCTGTATTTTCAAAGAAGCAGGCTCAACTCTATACCTTCAATATACCTTCTGACAAGGTTTACAGTTCAAAGTAACTGTAGCAACAGTGGGAGCTACAGAGGAGCCACTGAAGACTGAGAGGTGGACACAGAAAGAAGCAAGAAATAGAGGAGCAAGACTGAAATAGCTTATAGACTTCCAATGAAATCTCATATAAAGGCCAATGTTAGATCATGAGGGGGAATGAAGAGACAGAGCTTGACAAGAATTACTTGTAGACTTGTCTCAGTACTGAAAAAATCAGAAAACATGCCTAAGGTGTTTTGGTGAAACTTTTCATTCCAGAAAAATAGGTTGGGATACCATTGAATGTTTACTTTTACATTGTCTTAAGATGCATGTTAATAAATGTTATGTCAAAGCCAGACTGCACTAAGCAGACCATCCCTCTCTACTTTTCTCAGTACACTTAAGATCCATGCTGCTTCTCTTGTGACTTCTATACCTTAATTTTTATTCAGTGTTCCCCCATTTGTGCTGGTTTGCTGCTCAAATAAGGCTGCTTTTGGTACAATCCTGATGTAGTTAGTGCCTATCTTAAAGTTTAGGCAGATTCACTCAGGAGTCAGGCCTATCAAAGGCAGCACTATACAGCTTATTCTATGTCAGTGGCTCAGGGCCCAATGGCTTTGATGCTGTCTGGGATTATTTGGAAGTCCATTTCCAAGGTCTTGTAACCACAGAGCCAGACCTCTGATTCCTTAGCCTCCATCCAATCTGGTAGGGAAACAACCTTTCCAAGAACAAACCTAGGCCTTGGAGATGGGAAATGGGGCATACCAAGGGAGGGAAGAAGCTGGGCCAAAGGCTTCCACTTTCTTCTATCATCCCAGCCTCCTTCCCTCCCCAGCACTTCATCTGAACATCTGAAAACAGCCACTGGGATGAAGTACACTGCACAAAATACCATGGTGGCAACAACTGCTGCTCTGTGTTCACTGACTGCAGGTAAGCCTCTGAGTTAAGGAACTTTCATGCAGTCTGTAGCAGAGGGCAATGGATTGTGCCCTCAGGAAAGAGCAATGGGTGGCCTGTGCCCCAGCAGGATCCACAACTGGGTCAATAGGAGTGTTTCCTAAATAGGCAAAAATGTGCTATCCAAACTGGAACAGTTCAGTGGATCTCGCAGAAGAGAGCAGTGCTGGCCTGTTCCATTCTGAAATCAAGCATTTCCACTCATTTCCAGGATAGCTCTAGGAAGTGCTATGCTGATGGTCAGTCGCACTGGCAAATCAGAATCAATGGTAACACAAAAGCAGTAAATGTTGAATGTTCAACATATGTTCAAGCATATGTTGAAATCTTCTCTGTGAATAGTTAAACAAATTAGCATCAGTTGGATGCTGCAATGAACCAGATACATAATACCACATGTAGTGACTTTCATCATTTTTGGAATGGTTTTAAGGAATGCAGTGGCATAATCCAAGAAAAATAGAGATGAAAATCCTTTTCTGTCAGTTTTCAGGGGCCTTAATGAGCACCTACCCTATTAAAAATTTCTGACCTTGGTGATGGTCATGCCACATCAACTGATAGCAAAAAACCTGGAAAGAAACATTGGATTTGTCCAGTGAAACATGGTATAATTATTTCTGGAACAAACAGATTTGGATACGAACCCAGCAAAAAGAGACAGACATCTTTCTCAAATGGTTTAAATATATTGACTTCATTAACAAATGAGAATCAGAGACAACTATCAAAAACACATAGAAAGGTGTGGAAGGATACACTTAAATATTTTACATATGTTGACTATACTGATTACTTTTTCAATGGTATTTCTTGATCCCCTGACACATGATCCCTGTGATTTTTTGTTAATTTGTTTCTTATGTATTTCTAAACTCAATAATGTATTCGTTAAAAAGAACATTTATAAAAGACATACCTTGTCACTGGAGATATTGTTATTAATAATTATATGTCTAAACCACTCAATAACCAAAGGTCTCTGGCCAGTGTTCAACAACACATAAAATACCATAAAAACAGCTGCTGAAGATGTTCCTTCCAGGCACTGTATATATACAATAATATGAAGGCAACAAGGAACAGTTCAAATTAATTTAAATGCACATCTGAAAAAACAAAGATAATCAAATAACAACCAAGTAATCATCAAATAAATATAATCCTTAACAACAACATTCTATGCTGTAATTCAGTAAAGCAAGCAGAAGCCAAAGTCAGTATGGAAGTCTGTAACAGAATTTTCTACAACCTTCCCAAAGTAAGATTCTTTTTCATAAATCATGACAACTAAACTGGTGTGGAACCACATTTGTAGGTTATATATGCTCAGGGTAGTCTGTCAAGCTGCTTCCTATTACGTCTCAACAAGAGAAGGGTAATATTTTTAAAGCGTCTCCAGAGCCAACATGTCAGCTCCCTTATCTGTTACCAGTTAGTCCAATGTTTATCACTATACTTTGTCCAAATGAAGCAAAAACATTTGAGAACATCTTCTCTGTTTGCCTGTCCTGTATCAGAAGTACTGATATTTTGATAAGGAGCAGCTCATTTCACTGTAGAAAAACTGAATTTAATGTTCTAATGATTCCTCATCTTTTCTAACTTTATTGGCAGAAACCCAGTTCAAGATGCTATGATACACACACAATAGTTCATGGGAGCATACATGTCACCAGGAGGCTCACGGTATGACTGTGCTTGGGCAGAGCCTCTGCTTGTATGAAATTATGCTTCCAAAGGAGAGCTATATGTAGCTCCTCCAATGTACCTATTTTTTGAGCTGCCCTTATCATTGTCTGCATTCTTAATAGGATGGCAAACTGAAAGAGCAAGGCATCATATTCCCCCTACACCAAAGAATAAAAACAGCTCCAGCAGTACGGCATGCCTAATAGCTATGGGTAACTAAAGCAGCTGCTTCTCACACTAAAAACTAAGCTGGGCCCAAGTTACTCAGCCCCTTGCAACATACAGCTGTCAGCAAATGTTTGTTGGAAGAAGAAGATAACAAATATCTAGTCGATGGCTTCAGGAGGACAAAACAAAAAAGACAATATATCCCATACAAAGTTCTGTGCGTGCAGTACACACAGTAGGTGCCAAATACCTACTTCTAAATATGGGCTTAACCAGAAACACTCTCTCTCCAGAAATGCTTTGCTGATACATTTGTATTTTACATCATGAAAAAGCAGTTTCCAATATAAAACAACCATAAAACAATAAACATACATTTTTAATCTCTGGGTGTCATTTTGCTTTGTTGTAAATAGGGTTCCACAGTCTGAGCCCTCAGTTTCAAATGCTTTAAATAGGTTCTCTTTTCTACTAGCTTTTAAGGCCCCTCCAGCAAACTATTTGCTGTAAGAAGACGTTCTATTTATGCAACTTCAATTGTATGTTCCTCTTATTCAGGACAGATAGCCAAAAATAATTACTGGGCACTATATTGTTTTAAGACTTTCATTAAATGGTCAAACCATTATGAGAAAAATATGGAGAAGTAGATGTCATTGATGGTGGAAATAATTATCTTGAACATACTACCCTGAACCTGGGGTTGATGTGGCCACTCAGACTAATCCCACCACCCTCAAATCCATGGATGAGCTGGCTTCTACGGGAATGTCTGAAAGAGTCCATGTGCAGTCAGCTGAATGCACTGAGAATATTCCCCATAGTCAGGAACACTGATAATGCTTCACACAGTTCATTGTATCCTCATTCCGTGGATTTACTACTGTCCATGTTTTGGGAGGGGGAGGTGTGAAGCAGGAAGCCACACTCAGCTTCCCTGCATGATCTAGAACTGTTTTAGATTCTGTTTTGTCTTGTGGGCTCAAATCAGTTTACAGCTATTTTTCCCACATGCTAACACTGACATTTCCAAGGGGGCACAATCTAAGTAACCAAATATGGAACACGATGGAGGCCAAAATAAGTTACCAAAAATGTTGTGGCTATTGCAGGTGTGTGTGTGTGATGGTCACAAACAGGAGCTACCCATCTCTTGCCATCTGTAACAGATCCCAAAGGACAGAAAAGGAGCAGCGGCTTCCACATGCAGCCACCTGTTCAAGGGTGATTTATTTTTTGAAGGGGTGTGAGGGTAGGATGGTTTCAGCCCTGGCGAGCCCTCCCCAGAGCTCTCTCCAGTCACACTCTTCCTCAGCGGCAACCGCTCTGTGGCAAGGGCGCTTGCAGATGGGCTGCCAGGTGCGGAATCTCATAGATACTTTAAAATCCAACCTAAAATCCAATATTTCAACCGTGTCACGTTCCCCCTCCCGTCACCAACTTTATGACCCAACCCCAGCATGAGAGGCAAATGGCAGGAGCGTGTGCAGTCTCTGGAAACGAGTGCCGCTCCGCCACCTCCCAGCCAGACACCTTCGAGGAGGCGGGAAAAGGACAGCCGACGGCTCGCCTCTCCTAGAATAGATTGAACACGCCGAGGCGGAATTTCGCGCCTTCCCAGATAAAACTTCCCAGCGGCGGGAAGGAGGAGAGAGGCGGAGCCATCGTGCTTCTGAGGCGGGCGGAGGGTGGAAGCCCCCGGAAGTCTCCCCGGTGGACATCAGCGGGCGAGGCGGAGCTGCCTTGTCGCAGGCGCTGCTTCCTTTCCACCCTCCCCCCTTGCCCAGGCTATGGAGCGGCAGGTAGGGGCTGGCGGGCGGCAGCGCTTGAAGAGGCGAGGCGGGGAAGCAGCGGAGGAGCGTGTCGGCGGCAACTCTCCCCGCCTGGCTCCCAGTCTCGGATGTTCTCCCCTCCGTGCCCTCCCATGCTGCTTCCTGCCTCAGCGACCCGCGGGCCATGCGGCTGAGCGCTGAAGCCTTCCTCTTCCTCCTTGGCTGGAGCCCGAGGGGCGGTGCCTCCTCCTCCTCTTCCTCCTCCTGCAGGTGGCCGCGGCGTCGCTGGTGAGGGTGGCAGGCGGCGGCAACCACAGCCCAACACGTTAAAGCAAGCACATTCTGCCGAGAAGATGTTGCTGTCACTGGCTCTGCACGCTTACTCCATGCGCTACGTGCTGCCTGCCGTGGTGATGATAGGCACTGCCCCCACCTACATACTAGCCTGGGGAGCCTGGCGCCTGCTCTCTACCGTGCTCCCCGCCCGCTTCTACCACGAGGTGGATGACCGGCTGTACACCATCTACCAGAGCATGGTGCTCTTCTTCTTCGAGAACTACACCGGCGTGCAGGTTAGGGTGGGTTCCATATTTGGTGGGGCTGGTGGCAACACGACTTCGGTGGGACTCCGTCCACCCCCTTATCCCACAACAGGCCTTCTCCCACTTGCCTAGTGTGCATCGTATGCACGTACAGGTGAGCCAGAAGAGGCAGCAGCTGCTCCTTACAATAGTTTCGCTGCCTGCCTACCTGGGTAAGGGAGTGAGTGATGCTGGCTCCTCCATGGCTATGCATTCACTCACATGCTCTTTCTTTGCGTGGTGCAGCTGTTGAGAGGCTGCTTTATGGATAATGTGGCTTTGGCTTCCTGCTTCCTTCCTATAAGGAGCAAACAGCAGCACCTTCAGGCAGTTCATTTGCTCATTCTGTCAGCAGTGCAGGAATTAGGATTGAACACAACAGGCCTAATCTTTGTTCCTGCACTACCTAGATAGAGAAAGCAGGCAAATGAAAACAGTTAGCTTCACCTGCAAGGAGTTGCTGCCTTCTCTCGCTCCCCTGTGCTTGCACTCTTTCCTTGGGCAGCATGGCGGCCCAGTGGCTGCTGAGCCCAGTTCTAAACACAGTGGACTCCCACATTGGAAGAGAGAGAGTGTGCAGGTGAACTTGTTGATATAGTGCCTGCTTTTTACCACAGCTCCTTCTTTCCCTTCCCATACCCCTCTGGGCAATGCAAAGTTAAATTCGGTCTCAGGTTCTCAGTACTCTCTTCTGCACCATGAAGGCAGGGTTCATACAGCCCTCTCTGAATGGTGTGGCAGACCACTTAATCACCCAGAGGGCAAGAGCAGGTGAGTAATCCAGTGTAGCTGGTGCCAAGGTACAGAACTCCCACCTTTGCTCACCTGTGGATCCTCTAGGAAGTAGAGCAAGGATGGATGGGCCTGTTGGGTGGGAGCTGAGCAAGTGAAAAATGAGTGAAAAGGGCAAATGCCTCTTTCCCTCTAGGTCAGGAATAGGGTTTTTTTTTCAGTTGAAGTATACTTCCTTTCAGCCCATGGAGGGCAGGGCAAAAGGCTCCCTACAAGTTTTCTGTCAGAATAATCCAGACACCATTGTTTTTCTCTCAGCTGCAAAAGAAAGTGACTCTGTGAGGTGGTGATCAACAGCTTGAGATCATTCCAACCCCATTCTCTTTTGAGAGACAGTATGGGGTGCTGATGATTTCCAGTTATTATTATCCCATGTCCTTTTCCTCTTTTTCACTTGCCACCCATGCACACAGATGAACACTTTCATTAATTTCACTCTCTCCCTAATTTCTTTCTCTGCCACCCAACCATCTCTCCTGCAGCCCTTAACACCAAAGTCTCATTGCCTCATTGGTTGTTTACAGGCTGCGCTATCACAAGTAGAACAAGAAAAAGAGATAGCAGGCAAGCATGAGTTCAGAAGCCCATCCACAGACTATAGCAGCAATGGTGCCTTTGCAAAGGAGGTTGCATAATTCCAGTCATCCCACTCTGGCTGGGCCTTCAAAGTCATGTGTGTGACTTCCTGTTCAGAGTTTACTGGGAGTTGCGAAGCGCATCAGGCCCTAGGAAAGTGGTCATTAAGAGATGTTAATGACCTAATGAATATTAGTTACATTTTTTTCCAAACAGACTGCTTAAAAATTATTTCCAGTGTATGTATCCAGTGTATACATATAGGTTGAGTAACAATTTAGATCCAGCAATGGCTGTGAAGTGAATTCTGGATGATGAAAGTGTAGTTTTATGAATAGCTACCTGATTAATAATTAATTATTTTCACAAGTTATTGTAGCATTCTTGTTGTTGGCCAAAACCATGTTCTCTGCAAATGGTGAACTAGTATGTTACAGTGCTGAATGCCATTTCACTCACAAGATGTTGCCGTTTGACTAGTAGTTTTTTGCTTTATAATATGCTTTCTAATATTCTGAATAACTTTCTAATTCAGAGCAAGGTGTAGGTTCAAAGGCAATTAAATTTAACTTATTTTCAACTCAAAATTGACTTCTTTTACCCCCCAAACATGTAATTTCAGAAGGAGGTAAGACTACAACTAATTGGATCTTGTGTGTCTGACACAACTTCCCAGCCCTTCCACTTCAATTTCACTTAATGATTTGATATAAATTTGCATAAAGTTTCATTAACCTGTGCTGTGTGTGTTCCAGGGATGTACTACCACAAAACTCTTTGTTGATCAAAATTATTTATCTAAAGGATGCTTTCTAGTTGATTTCTAAACACAATTCAGCATATAGTAAAAATGTTTTCAGATCACACCAGTTCCAGGTTCCAGGTGAGGAATTGCATTATAGAATAGTTTCTCCATCTTAAAAACAGAAACAGCACTTGTCTGTCCATAGAAGTATACTTGTCAGGGAAATGAATCCAACACGTGCTTTTTCTGCATGCTTGGAAGACTTTCCCTGGTGGAAAATGACTACACAATTTCCCAGCTCAGTTATGATTTTTTTTACAGTCCAAGGGCAGTTCTATCATTCAGTGCAAGCACTTTTTGCCTCCCCTCAGAGTCTCTTGATTATATATTATGCCTGCTATCATACTAAGTTCAGGTTTGTCTTATAAACCTTAAAGGTAGTGGCCTAAGGTTTCATTCCTCCAATGCAAATTATGTTGTGCTAGTATAAGGCACCTTCTGTGCAATGCCCATAGGATTAGCTTGCACAATAAGCTTTCCAGGGAATCCCATAGCACAAGCTAATGCTATGGATCATGCACTACAGTTCTGGTATGCCAATGCAATGTAATTTGCGTTGGCAGAATGACACTGCTGGACACCATCCATGACTTTAGTGAACTGCATATACCAATGGAAGCTCTAAATATTTATCGGTGATGACTGATGTATCAGAGATATCCTGGTCACAAGCTACAGCTGAATCAAGCTGGTTCTTAGATGGAAGATTTTAACCATGTCTGAAAAACTTCATTTAGAAAAGTCCATGTAATTTTGTTGTACACCTGGAAACAAAACCCTTTTGTTCACTCTGCAGACTTGTAGTAAGGTCTCTAAAAAGTTTTCATGATGTTTCAGAGGTGTATCATGGATGCACCTTGTGTAAGGAACTATCATGGTCCTTAATTTTATTTACTGATCTGTTTCCCATTTTGAGAAATCATGAAACTGGCCTTCCATAAATAATTGAACAGAAATTAAAAGGAATTATGACAGTAGTTAAACTTTTTGGAAACTTTCGTCATGTTCCTTGGGGAAGTCTTTTAATATCTCACTACCTAAAATCCTCATTATTTTGGAGTATGCCCTATGTGGCCTTGAAGGGCTCAGTTCTTGGGTAAGGACTGAATAGGACTGAAATGTTGGGTATTCATAGACGTACAAATGAAGACAAGCTCAGCTACATTCTGATATTTCAAGGAAATTCAGATGAACAACATAGCATTTTATTGTATGTGATGATGTGGGACTTGGTGTGTTACAGATTCTAATCTGAGATAAAAATAATAAAATTAATACTACAGTCTATCCATGGCAATATCCATGAATAATACCTTGATGTTCATGGATAGTGTATAACAATGTATATGGTTTGAAACCAGTCTTACAATATGTACATTATAGACCATCCCTTCCTTTCTTCTGTAGAATCACTCTGTCCTTCAGAAGTTCTAATTTGACCTTATCTGTGCATCTTTTGGCATGTGCTGTGTTTTATGGAGTTAAGAAAGTAGATTTTAATTGGGAAAAGGTCAGCACAGCTGACAGTTGCTCTCTTCCTTAATAATTTTGTGTGTATATACTTGCATACAGAAATTTTGACCAATACCTGGTGCTGGCCACCTTTAACTTGGAACAGCAGTACAGTGGGTTGCTTAGGACGCACACCATATTTCAATGTGATGTGTCCAGGGCTCCACATATCCCTCTTGAGTTTTCCATGACTTGCAAAAAAATGCAGAGGTGAGTATGGGTGCTTGCTTTTCTGAAGGCAGGAGCGATACAAGGGATGTGGAAACTTTAAAAAAAAAACCCTTAACTGTCAAATCTTTGTGTGTCAAGGATTGGGGGAATGGATGTGCCAATGGCACTCACAAATGAAGGCTGGCTAAAATGATTAGCAGAGTTTGTTGTGCCCCAGGCATCTAATTCTTCAAATATTTTGTTGTCTTGAAAACAGACCCAATAATGCAAAATCTTGTCCTGAACATGCACCCCAAATTCATCTTCAGAAAAGTGGTTGTGTATATTGTGTGATACATATTCTCTCCTACAACTTTGAAACTGGTGTGGGAATTGAAGTGTCTTTCAGACTTAAAACAGAATTGTGTCATAAATGTGTATACCAAATTTAATCAACAAGGTTTGTACAAACTGATAACCGGTCATGCACAGAATCACACAATGCCCAGACTCTGTCAAATTTCCACAGGGAGTTATACTACATAGTGGGCTGTTAAGTTGTACAAACCCAGGAGAACAAATTTATCATGGATTGCTGAGACTGACTATAGAGCCATTTAACAAGAGCAGCAAAAACTCCTCCTGCTTTTTGCAGTCTTGCTCATGCCACCTGCAGCCTCCTTTGCCAGGAACTGCCCCAACAGTGTCCAAACAGCATTTTGGAGAGTTCCTCATTTGACTTTTTTTTGGATTATTCAAAGATAAAGTTCTTTTCTTCAAATATCACCGAATACTTATGGTGTCTTGTCTGTAGACTTTACCCTAAACTCTCAAATGGTTCACTTTTTAGTAAGGTTCTTTGTAGAGAATTTTACTGATTGGAAATCATTATATAAAGTTTTATCCATCACCTCACTATGTATAGAAAGTCTTGACCTGATTTGCCCATAATGCTAATCCACATGTTTAATTCTGTGTTACAGTATATACAATCATGACAGTGTAATGAACTTGGTTTGTTAATCATGAATAGTCCAGAAAGAGAACTTATGATTTGTTGTTAGCAATTGAATGAGCTAACAACAAACCATTCTTTCTTCTCATGTGTCCTGCAGTCACACATTCAGGAGGCAACTGCTGATGAGTAGTTTCTGCATGCCTCCATCTTTCCTCCAAATGGCAACATGTATTCCACCAGCCTCCATGGCTGAGAACTCACCCCAGCCTGCAGCACTGCTGCTTGCATCACCCAGCTCTCCCCCATTGACCCTCACTCTCTTTTGGGCATATTTTCAGCTAGCTGCTGCCCTCCGCCCGCTCTGCAGAGCCCCCGTCTTCTCACTAGAGTAGCTCATAAGGAGCAACAGAGCAGCAACCAAGCATGGCTGCCTCCACAGTCACTGCTGCTAGAGGAGCTCCTCCTCCCTACCAGTAGGCCACTGCCCCCCCCCCCCGTGCATATTGCAGAGTGGGAATGGGGCAAAGTAACAAAGTGAGGGGGCAGAGCTGCAGCATGGCAGCTGGGTATTGGGCAGTGTGTGCTGGGAGGGATGACTTGGAGAGCAGGGGCAGCCCATCAGCAGCCTGTCTGGCAGCGACTCAGTGTAGGTGAATAGGGCAGTGGAAACTAATGGCTGGCTTAGCCGCGGCTGCTGAACTTGCTGGCTGAAACAGGGAACCACGGAAAATTATTGTAACCAGCTTCAAGCTTAATGGGAAGCAGCGCTGAAATGTTGAAGCCTTAGAACAAACTGTTGGTTCTCTGTGGTGATTCATGGTAATCAAAGGCGCCACCTTTCATCATCTTCCAGTATTCACATGTATCAACATCCCTTCCTTGCCATGGCTTGTCATTGTGTGTGAGTATATCCCATGTGCGTATGGGTGCTAAGTTGAAAGTAAGCAGTGATGAAATCACTGAGATTTGTAGCTGAGTAAATTTATTTAAGCAAATGTGTTTAGCACGTGGAACAATAGTACTGGTACTAATAGGATCAGCCATTTGTATCATTTGCTAATAGACAGATGTTTAAACTCTGTTCAAATAAGGCTACCAAACAGATGTTTGGTGGTCCCTTCACTGAAGAGCCATGAATGAAACTAGTGATCTAGAGGTGAAAGGTTTCTGCATCCTGTTATCCTGTGTGATTTATATTGAAAATACTCCCATCCCTTTCCCCTCATTCATGAGTTAAGAATAATGTTTTCCAGGATCCCCCCTGCCCTGACTTTGTATTTAAAATTGAGGGAGAGTATTGAAAGGATTTTTTGCTTGCACAAAGGGCATTCAAAGTTGGAAGTGGACTTCCTGTTTAAGACATGTTACGTACTCCCAATTATGTCACTGTAATTTTGTGGCCATGTTAGCATGAAATCTAAACCAGAATTGCAAAATTTTCTCTCCCTTTTCTCTCTTTCCTAGGTAATTATCTATGGTGATTTGCCAAAAACAAAAGAGAATGTGGTTTATATGTCAAATCATATATGTACAGGTTTGTATACAGTTTTCTTGCTGATAAGCACTTTTTTCCAGAAATGGATATAAAAACATATGTCATCAGTGCGTTATTCAGACTGCAGCATTCCAGGTTTAAATATTTGTGTTTCAGATGAACATATTGACTATTTCAATAAAGAGGAGAAAGTTCAATGCATACAGTTTGACTTCTAAGTTTTGCAGAAACAAGCCCATGTGGCAAGGTACCTCTAATTATAGGAGCTTTTGAAGCACCATACAGTTTTATGTCCAGTGATGGCTTCCCACTTGCTGTAAGCATTTCTGCTGCAAAGTGATACACTGGACCTTCTGTATTCCGCTATTCACTGCAGCTTCTGCATCCCTCAACAACAGTAAGGGAGATGGTTCAGGACTGCAGTAAGTAGGGACAGCCGGCAACACTTGGATTCCCTTTCTTGGGCCAGCAGAGTACTTCTCACTAGTGCAAAGACACTGTTGGATACAGTCCATAGATTTCCATAGTGGAGTGGCAGCACTGAAAATCACAGTGTACTCATGACAAGCTCCACCAAAGGGTTATCATCAGGACTTAAGATCTGTATTTAAGGATTTCCTTATTAACAAGACGGTAAGAGTCCTGACTCCATCACTCACTGTGCATCAACATCAAGTGTCCATTTTGAACTTCAGTATGTTCATCACAGAAAACCCGAATGAAAATTTTAAAAATAATACTGTTCAGCTTTTAAGAGCACATTCCTTGACATCATGATATATGTTTGGTTGGGTGTATATCATATAAAAAAGTATTGGTATCTTTAGGATATGGATCTATTCTCATTCTCATGCCCTATAGATGCCCATGTCAGCATGGCTATTGGTTAGAAATGATGGGAATTGTAGGTCATTAGTTCGGAGGGCACCAAACTGAGGAAGGCCTGTGCCGTGTGGGCAGTAACTTGAACGACAGTGGTGGTAGTGTTATGAAACAAACCTTGTAAGATTTGGAAACTAAGAAATAAATGAAAAAATGAAATTTTGAGGAAGGATGTGATGAGATACGATTGTGGAAAGATCTTCTCTTGTACCTTAAAAACAAGAAATGTTTCTTGTAATAGAATTTGGGTATTAAATATATTAAGAATGGTTTTAAGAAGTGTTTAAATGTATGCTTAGAAACATAAATGCTTGTATTTTGGCTTTGCAGTTGACTGGATTATAGCAGACATGTTGGCCATCAGGCAGAATGCTCTTGGACATGTTCGATATGTTTTGAAAGACATATTAAAATGGCTTCCTTTGTACGGGTGGTATTTTTCTCAGGTAATTCTTTAATGTATTTCCATATGTTATTAAATAGCTACTTGCTGCTTTTTTTGACACACATCAGTGATTAACATGTTTACTCATAAGTAAATACCATTGGTTTCAGTAAAATTCAGTCCCAAATAAAGTATGTTTAGAATTGTGGGAGTGCAGTATTATCCTTGTTATTTATGTATATGTTACGTACTTAAAACCACAGATTTTGACACTTAATTCTCTTTCAGGTGTTCTGATTTTATGTGCATGCTAGGGCAAAAGCATATCTGGTTCCCAATCTGGCTTAACTCTCTTATCAATTGAAACTTAACCTAGTGAACTTGGCACATGTCACACTGAGATAAAATAGCATGTGCCTGGGTCCTATATGTCTACCAGCATGGTCATAATTATGCTTCCTTAGAAGTAAGTCAGATTGCATTCAGTGGGACTTATACCAGGTTAACTAGGTATAGGATTTCCACCTTGGATATAAGGGGCCTTTGGAGCCTAAGGAGTGACTTCCGTTGAACCTGATGGGACTTACCTCTGAGTAAACATAATTAGAATTGCACTGTACGTTAGCTTCTAATTAATTAAAAATATAGCTAATGCGACTTTCATCACACTTAGTTCTGTGATTATGCCAGTGAAAGTACATTATCTCTTATTTCTGGAGTAGCTGAAGTATAATGTAGTAAGAAAATGGTTTGTTTAGGAGAAAAATCTGTTTAATATATGCCTGTGTATAATAAAAGTGGTGGGATTGTGATTCCCATGTCTTTGTCACAGTGAATATTTAGATTTAAAAAGTAGTCTTCATATATCAATATTTGCTTAGAAGTATCCTTACATTCTCTTACTCCCTTTCCACTTTTCCTTTTTTTCCCGCTACTCTAGTTGAGCTTCATGTGGATTTCATCCTAGTAGGCTATCAGGGTACTCTAGTGAGCTGTGCACTCCATTAGATACAATAGTTGAAATTCAGAAGATCTTTGGGAGACAAGGGGTAGTATTTCTCATTAGGTGAATGCAGTTCCATGTCTGAATTAGTGCCATATATTGATAGCAGAAAGAGGAGGAAAAGCTACATTGAAACAGTTTCATTTCTGTGCTTATAGCCCAGTGATGCACACTGCATGTCACAGCATGTTGGCCGTAACCAGCAAAAACACAGCCAGCTGGCTCCATTGTACATGCCACCAATTATGAACACCAGCTATATAACCATTTCGGTGGGTGAATACGTTTCTTTATTTGGAGTGATCCTGGAGATGTTTTGTGCTGCCAGCCAAGAAGAATAAATACATATATGTTGGTATAAAGTAGCTGAATTTTCATTCATTAGTCTTGTATAGGCTTTTTCCTGCAATTGTTAAGCCTGTGGTAGCTAATAATTTCATGATTTCACTGCCACTAAAGCATTTATTCATATTGAAGGTGAGGTTATATGTCTCTTTTAGCCATACTATTTAAAACCACTACAACTGTGCTAAAGATAAAATGACATTTCCCAGGACCCATGTGAAGGCCACTGAAAAATGCCTGTGTGGCTGTGTTCCATGTGAAGCCAAGCCCTTGGTTGCGAGACTGTCCATAAGGGTCTGAACCATACTTAAGCAACCGATAAATAGTTCCCACCTGGCAGTGTGTTATGGATACCTCTGCCAGAGGCCTATACCATTTGAATCAGACCCTTAGGATGCATACCACACACTAGGAAAATGGAGGTTCTGTTATTACGGCAGCTGCCTCTGCAATGGGAGCTGTTCTTATGGACTGGGTTGTTGTGTGGATTCATGATGCAAACCTTAAAAATGACTATTTTTCTCGATGCCAGTTGAAAGAAAGTTGGCAAGACTGTGGCAAGCCATTCACCTGCAGTAAGTTGCCAATGATAGACAGCTCTCACACTGTTGCTGTTTTGTGTGTGCCAGCCACCAGTCATGATGCTATTTGACCTGGAAAGGAGAACGTGTGAATGCAGGTGAATGGCTTGTACCATATGGGTTAAGAAACAGGGAGGTATAAACTGCAGCAGTTTCCTTATTCACATACAGGCAAACTGAGCAACTGGAGTTGTTTTCCCTGGAGTGAGAGTTAGGGGCAAAAAGCACTGTGTATATTTGCCTATTTCCCAGTACACGTGCTACAATGCTTTTCTTTTTATTCTGTTCCTTCCTGAAGCTTCTGGAGTAGTTTCTAAAAATTAAGATAGAATACAGTTTTAAAAAATCCATGGCCACTTCAAACTAGCTACAGTTTTCTGGCAGTAATTCTTAGACAAGCTTGCAGTTATGCATGTTTTAGCTTAGATGTGTCTGGCCAGTGATGGGAGCAATGTTGCTCTCTTCACCTTTGCAGCCAACTAACTCTTGCATAAGAATTCGTTCTGGAAAGGATAGGAAACAAATTAAGAATATGTGATTCAGCTGGATCAGTCCAAGGACCTATCAAGCTTGGCATCCTGTTTCCCTACAGTGAACAGCAGGTATTGCTCCTCTCACCGGTTGTCCCTCTTCCTCTACCCCATGTCTTGAGGGGCAGATTCCCAGAAGCTCTCCATCTGATGAGTGACTGTGAATGGACTTTGGCAACAGATGTGACGGGTACACACTTGTTTCTGCAGCCACCCTAAGCAATGTTACTTGTTCCCACTTTGGGATTTTTTTTACTTTGCTCTCCTTATGTGTTCAAAGTCATTTGTCTGGTTGAATATCCTCCTGAATATTAGTCTGTCAAACAGTCATATCCTTCCCATTGGGGTGGTGATATGATTCAAAGCTGGTTTTCCTTTAGAACATGGTGTGCAAACATGAAAAACATTTGGATGTTTTTCATGTCATTCAAAGAGCAACTAATAGGAGAATGCAGAGGCTGTATTAATAATTCAGAAGCACAAATAGCGATCTGTGAATGATGGCACTTACTGGTTTGCAAGAAAACGTACTGCATTGCTGAGAAGGATATACAGAGTCTACGCTGCCAGTTGACTTGTATTTTTCTATTTTCCTGGTCACGCCAAATCCTGTAAAAACATAAAAACACTTCCTCCTCTTCCTGTTGATCCTGTGTCAGTGATGTCACTCACACTCAGCTAAACTTTCCAGTGACAATTAATTACAGAATTGTGATGGAATGCATATTTCCTACCTCAGATAAACATCCTGTTGTGAAATATATGTTTTGAATATGAAGAAAACAACACAAGTTTAAGGAAAACATGCTGGTGGGGGGTTCTGTTGGTCTACAAAACAAGTCCTTAAATCATTGAAAGAACATGAAAGACCTAAAAATGATCGTCAGACTCCTGGACATATATTCTGACATACAATTTAATGTTGCTTATGCAGTAGAACTGATAAAGTGGCAATGTATAGGAATAAGAAATAATACCTTAAAGTATATCAAAAAATAACATTGTATTCAACTTACTGTTTAGAAAATGGGTGTCTCCATGGTAAACATTTTTGCTTGGAAAGCAGTCCAATTGGTTTCAATGGAATTTTCAGGCAAGCAACTGTATGCAAAATTGCAGTGAAAATATAGAGTAGCATTGTCTATGGAAATAACTTAAATGCAAGTATGTGGCCAGAAAAACTTTTTTACTAATATCTTTGCTGCCCCTCGCACAACACACTTTCTACTTCTCAGTCAAGGGCCCCTGAACATTTTATCCAGGGCGGACATTTGGAGGAATCTAAGGAATATTTGAGGAGGGAGATGTGAGGCATAAGTGTGTCATGAACTCATTAAAATTACCAGCCTGTTCCATTCAATTAATGTATTGTTGGAACTACAGTGAAGACATTTTTTTGTTAGGAATCTGAAAGAAGAGATCAATTTTTGTTCTAATGGTAAAGTAGCCTACAATTGAATAAACTAGAAGAGATCATCTCTTAAGTTTTGTATCCAGTTCTAAAATACAGAATACAAATGGATTCCTGCAACAAATCGTTGCAGTGGACAGTGCCTTTGGGCTTCAGCCGCTTCATTTTCTCCATACACACATGCGTGCAGACACACATACACATACTGGTAGTTCACCTTCACTCCCTGAAAAAGACAGCCACTGTTCTGTGCTGGCTGAGCATGCCCAGTCCCCATGGGGCCCCATTTTGGGTGCTTCCTCTTCATTTTGAGTAATGTAAGTGGTATTGTAATGTTGTAAGGAAAGTGACCTCAGCTATATTAAAACATTTGATTTCCCTATTGATTTCTGTGGGTAGCTTCTAAGTTAGATTGCTTAGTGCATTTAAAAATACCTTCTCTGTATGGCACAGGAAATGAACTTGGATGACTTTAAAAGGTGATTAAACTAGTTAATGGAGGATCAGACTAATAAATGGCTACTAGCTGAGCGGTTTCTGCATTGCTTGCAGTGCCAGGCAGTGTGCCTTTGTATGCCATATGCTGGGGAACATGAGTGGAAAGATGGGGCTCGTGTCCTGCATGCATTGCATGCTTCCTATAGACACCTGATTGCTAGGAACAGAATGCTAAACTAGATATGCATTTTGTCTGATGTAGAAGAGCTGTCTTTGTCTTCTTAATACTTTATGCATATCTATGCATCTCCACACTACTGAGTTATACTAGAACTACTTGGAAAGGGACCTCCCCCTTAAAGTTTCCTCAGTTTTTAGCTCCTGCTGATCTGCTTCTTGTGTATGGGTGCTGTAATTTTGGCTCCCTTTGTGCAAGCAGGAAAATGTGCTTCAGAAATAAAGAGTCATCGGTTAGACTAGTGCACTACAAACAAAATACTTTCAAATAGTGGAGTTAGTCAGGATATATCTTAATAGAAGATCCACCATTAGGAGTCTTGTGGCCTGAAGCAGAAGAGGAAGCTCTGGAGACTGTTGCTCATGGATTTGAACTGGGCTCATAAAACCCTCAACCACAGGGTAAAATTGTACGTTAAAGCAGTGGAGCTGTGAGAACGATACAGTAACGTGTTTTCTTAGGCATGGTTTAAATTTTAAATGATTGAGAATACATATGTCTTGATGAGTCCATAAGAATGTGAGCTGAGAAGTATGCTTTTCCAATTTCACAGAACTAATGACCCTACAGAATCGCTTTCGCTTAGCCTCAGCTTCCAGGCTGCGAAATGTGGGGCACTTTGAACATAGTCTCTCTACATATTCTAAGTATTAAAACAATGATTCAGATATGTTGGGTGGCCCACTTTACCCCATAGGTTGATGTATGCCATACTTCGTGGTGAATTATAGTGTATCTAAACATCACTTTTACTCTGGTCTGATACTTCTGAATCCTGCTTCCTGGCCTTGGTCTCATTATTCATCTTCCCTTAATACAAATATTAATTGTTGGCTGTTTTATATTGCCAGCAATTGCTTTCATGGCTGACATTTATTTTTTGGCTGAATTTGAAATTCTGGCAGTTGAAAAATATATTACTTCATTTAGTCTCCTGAATTAGCCAAATAAGGGAGAAACCACAAATCTTTACAATCGAATAAAATCCAGTAAAATAAAAATAAAGTTTGTCAGATTGATAGTTGAAATAGTCCAAATTTTCAGCAGGTAAGGTTTACAGAAGCCAGCTGGAAAAGCAGTAATTGATATCCTTGCCTTTGGTGGATATTTCAAGTGCTTGCTTTTCCATTTCTTGGCAGTTTCAGCCATATGGACAGAAGAAGGATTTGACTAGGCTCAAAGTTCTGTTGATACTGGGTTTCTAATAAAAAGTTACCTTATGAATAAGCTGTACTGTTATATTTAGCCCTTTAACAACAAAGACAGAGAGGATGAGAGTAAATGTATGGGAAAAACTGTGTTTGTGTATGCATGCATGCATGCATGCATGCATTTATTTTAAAGGTAATGGAATAAGAAGCCATGTCCTTTCATGCCATATTCCATATGACAAAAATATTTTTTCTGACTTGGTATAACAGAGCAATCTCTGTGAGTTGTTCTGTATGGGTGTTCATAAATTCATTAGAACTGTGTATGTACATGTTTCTTAAAGCATCTGTAATAAACATTAAATTGTATGTAATGTTATTGATGAAAATTTAAGCTATCTTTTTCTCCTATTGGTTTTGCCTTGTTCCTGGAGAAACCATCCAAGAGTTAGCTAGTAACACTGCATTTGGTGTATCAGTTTTGAAAAATGTTAGTGCCCAAAATAATCAAGATTGGAAGAGCAGAAGGATACACTCTCCATTTATTGATGAACTAATAGAAAGATTAGAGACTCTGGAAGAGTCTTAGAAGATTTTCTTTTTTAACAAATTAATCCATACTAATAACTAATAAAATAAAACAGAATTAATTAATTTAATTGCTAATCAAATAACATACTAATTTCACTCTCTCTCCCTCCTTTTCTCTTCTTCCTTATCTCTCTTTATTTTTTTCTTCTTCTCTTTTCCTTTCCCCCCTACCGTTTCTTTCTTTTCAGTGTTTTAACACTTCCTCTAAGAAAAAAAATCTTGGGAAAATACTGTTTTTTGCGGTCTTAGAGCCAAATTGTTATGTATAAATTTACACTGTTTAATAATCAAAGAAGAAAGTGTATTAAACATATAAGTAGAGGAAGAAATACAGAAATACAAATACAAATCCTTTGTTCCAAGGGAATAAGGGTGAAACCCAAGAAGAAGATGGTAAACTTGACATTGCAGATTTGATGGAAGAAAATCAACAAGCACTGAAACATCAAACTCAAATAATCACAGAGCAATACCAGGCACTTTGAAAACAAATTAATCAATTAGAAGAGAAAACTCAAGATAAAAATAGAAATCACTTTTCTAAGAAAGGAGCTATTGTGAGAAATATCAAATTTTAAAACAGATACACAGGAAAACACTAAAGCAATGACTAAAAGAAAAAGAACTGAGGTACAAATACAGAAGAACTTAAGTGTCTTACAGCATTACTGTGCTATCTTGTTGCACTTTTGTGTGTCCTGTAAATTATAATTTTCATCTTGTTCCATATTACCTACTTGGCATAGCAGTCTCAGGTCCCAGGTAGAAGCCTTTATCATCACCTGGCACCTGAGTTTTTAACCAAAGTTTCCATGGAATGAACTTGGTATTTCTGTGACAAAGCATAATGTTCTGCTATTGAAATACGATCTCTCCTCCATAACCAGTACAAATATTTTTCTTTTCCTTTCCATCACGATCTCCATATGTTCCCTGTCAGTGGCAATTCCTCTTTCTATACTTTGCATTCCTGGTTATTTTACATTTTTGTCTGGTACTTTCCTGTTCTTCAAACGAAACTAGGTACCAGTAACAAGTTTTTCACAATTCAGTACTGTAGCCTCACCTGTAATTTCAAGATAAGTGGTAATAGAGCTTTTGTTCATATTGAAGCGAGTGTGAAAATGTTGTACATTCTAAGAATTATGCTAGTTTGAAACGGGTGTGTAGTATATATTATTTTTCTTTTTAAAACTTGTATGTATTGCTAATGGTTTGGTTCTGGAATATTGAAATACAGTGTACAATGCTTGGTGAAACATTACTCATAAATATATTGTTATGAAGCATATATATTTTCTTTATATGCTAGCATGGAGGAGTCTATGTGAAACGAAGAGCCAAATTTAATGAAAAGAACATGAGGAACAAGCTACAAGCCCAGATTAAAGCTAAGACTCCAGTAAGATTATATTTTCTATGTCTCTGTGTTACCTAGCCCCCAAATGGAAAACAAAATAGGAGGATTACAAAGACCTTGTAGCTGATCTAATAGCTCTGTCACACAGTTCACCTTCCCATCTTTATGCTGAACAGATGGGTGGCTGTGGTGACATTCACAGCTCACATTTGTCTTTCTCTGGTAGTAGAGGCAATTATACTCTTGCAGAAAAGTTTTGTTAACGGCATGCAAAACCGCCAGTTCCTACATGAAAGTGCCCTCTAGCTTATTATGTTGCTCAGCATATAGGCCAAAACCAGGAGTTTCTCTGATGGCCTGGTCTATACCTGGTGCCCCCCATATCTTTTATTTAAACTTCGGAGCTTCATTCTGTCTGGTTAAAATCTTGACAGTTTGTCATATAGGATAGTGGAATTTTAGTAAAGTCAGTCAGTATTGAACATTGATCTGATCAGTGAGAGCCTAAGAGGAGCCGGGCTGGGCTGGGCTGGGCTGGGCTGAAGGCCTCCTGGACCAGTATTTTCCTCGCACAGAGGCTAGCCAGATGCCCTAGGAAACCCACAGGCAGGAGAGGAGCCCAGCAGTGCACTTGTGCAAGCGTTGCCCTGCCATTGCTTCTCATGCTGAGGCCGTATTTGGCCAGCATGGTGAGCAGCCATCTGTAGCAATATCAAGCATGAATTCAGTTTCCTTTTAAAGCCATCCAAACTTCAGGGCAAGTACTTCCCTATATCTGTCCTGAATCTCCTGCCATGGGATAACCTAACTTTAGCATGGGCTCTAGCATTGTTATGAGCGGGGGAGTAAAGCACCCTCCATTCTGGGCATAATTTTATGCAACTCTGTTACGTCTTCCCCTATGTTTTTTCAAGGTGAAAGAGCCCTGAATGTTGTAACCTTTGCCCATAAAAGAGTTGCTTCAAACAGCCTTGTGTATAAGGCAATGTTAAACCAGCATTTCATATTATGATAATTATTCAAGTGTTTGTTATGCATCTTACTAGCAAGCACATTAGTAAAGTAACAGTAGCAAGTAACAGTAGTGGCTGCCCAGAGAGCATGATGCTAACAGGCAGCCTTTAAATGAGCTAAATACCGTGGTATTTGCAGCAACTGGCACTGAATTCTGTACCCTTTTGGAAACTGTCTTTGGGAGTGGTAATTTTATCTGTTTCACAAAGTAACAGATTATGTGCTAATAAGGTTCTGCTGGAAAAAATGATGCTGTAGGTTGCAATAATGGTGGTGCAATGTGGTATAAAGGCTCTTTTCAAAAATGCCTTATTTGGAGCCTTGCCTCTCAGTGCTTGCCTGCTTATGCTAAACTCTATCATTTTTTGTCGCTGTGGGCCTGGAAGAGTTCAGTCCAGGGCCTTTACAGACACTTCCATTCCCATTCACCTGCGACAAATGCATGCAAAAACACATTCTCTTTCCATGCAAATACCTGCTTTATAGCAAATAGCATTGTGAGGGTTGTTAAGTAAATGCATTCCAGTTGAGGCAGCCTTTTCAGCCTTTTCTGATTTACCTTATTGAAGCTATGGTCTTCTGCGCATTTACATTTGAGAAAGTTCCACTGAACTCAGAGACCTACTTCTGAGTAGGCAAATATAAGATCACAGTATAAATTGCAATGCATTCAGCTGAGATTTGCTAAAAATCTGGCCAGGCTGTAAAAACCGGGTATTTGTTCACTAAACTATGTTGACTGTACTTTCCCACATTAACTGTTCAGCTTGTTCTTGAAAATAAACAGTGCTGTTAACTTCAGCTGTTTCTGCCGCTTGCTTTCCTCCTCCTTTTCAGGGGCTTCATGTTCCCTGACTATTGACAACACTTTTCTTAAATGAGGATTACAGTAACTTCATATCTTTTTAGACATCTTATCTTTGCGCAGTCCTTTCTCTCACCTTCAATACAAACATAAACAAGGTTCTGATTTTAGTTGACAGCAAGTCAGGATTTATTTGAGAACATATTGCAATGCCTATTTTTTCAATGGTGTACACTTTTTTTTTAAATCCTGCAGATGTATCTTGTGATTTTTCCAGAGGGAACGCGTTACAGTCCTGTGCGACCGAAAGTCCTCACTGATAGTCAAGCATATGCTACTAAGGAAGGTACAGTGAACTTCAGAGACTGTTAGGAAGTAATGGGCTGTAAGATGACATGACATCGACAAGAGCAAGTGTGGCAGACTAGATGAATTTATGCTATCGCTGCCCTGAGACACTGTAAAGGGAGGGATACAAAAACTTGGGATGGATGGATAGATAGCTCTAGACTGCTTTAAAAAGAGGAGGACTCAGTCTCACAGTGTTATTGAAACGGGAGAAAGTGACATCTCAAAAATAGTGGGGTTGCCAAAACTGATGCCAAAGCTACAGAATGCTAGTTCCAGTTCTGTGTTGTTGCAAATGGTATTTGATGCTGAATCAGATTTAATTTAGCTTAAATGTTTAATGTTAAAGCAAATACCCAGCTATCTAAGGTTAGCAAAGGCACTTTCTGTAAACAATAACAAATACAAAAGTAAAGCTGAAGAAAGTCTGATGTCAAATTATAGTAGTAATCAATTCTTAAAATAATTACAGAACTTGAATATATAGGCCATATTCTTTACCAGCACATAAGCCATGTTTTCACATCATGTTAAACATGTTTAGTGAACAAGAAAGAGCCACCATGAACCTGGGGGTTACTGCTCCCTGCTTTCTCCTTCATGACCGAGAGGAAGGCTTTAGCAGTGTTGACCTATAACCTGCCATGGTCTCAGAGATGCAAAATCTACAAGCTGCATGTGCCCCCACCCCGGATTTAGACTAAACATTAAACTGCACGTTCCATGTTATCCACATGCAATGCAGTTATATCTCCTGTTTTTCCTTAATTACAGCTGGCAGGTGGATTGATACTAAAACCCGACCATGTGGGGAATGTTTTATCCCTTCCCTTGCTGGCCTCAGTCTGTGCAAAAATCACACCTATTCACAGCTGCGAGCATTTTGGGGAAAAGTTCCTATTGGCATTAATAGGAACATTTTTCTAACACTTATAGCTGCACCAGGGAAGGGATGATTGTTGTCTGGTTATGGTTGGACAGGGACCAGATGAACCTTCCCCTCCCTGTGTGCTCCAGTCCCAATACCACACGTCCCTGAGATTGAGGAAAAAAGAGGCATAGTTGCATGCTATCCTTTAAGCATAATTATAGTTTAGCACATAATCTCTAAAGCAGACTTTCCCAGTATGCTTTCTTCTAGTTATAAAGACATACAGCTCCCATGAGCCTAACCAGGATGGGTAGGGATGATGTAAGTTGTAGTCCAAAACCTCTGGAGAACACCAGGTTGGGAAAGGCTATTGTAAAATGAGAATGAGACGATCATAGAAAGTATGTGTTAGGAGCCAAATTAAAGTGTACATTGAATAGTGTCCTGCCCAGAACAGGACTCCCCATTTATTTTACACCCTAAGTGGGGCAAGGGCTTCAAATATGTGCAAACTTGCAAACGTGTTTTTCTAATGTTAGCTATATATTTCTCTTGGCTGATTTAATCATTTATCTTCCTAGGAACTTTATGTGTTTGGGTTATTTTATGTGTTGTTTTGTAGAAAGCTGGAGTGCTATTAGGTGTGCTGAACTGAATGCTTAGTAATAAAAACAATTGCTGTCATAACACTGCATTCAGTACCCATGGACTAGAACAACATCTTGAAAACATAACACAGTCGCACTTTGATGAAAAATCCAGTGTTATGCTTCAAAATATTTGCATAGTTTTGTATTGAACAAGTAAATGTTGTTGTGGTTGGTAGAATTGACCTAATACCAATGTTTCCCTTGGTTTTAAGGCACACTTTTGCAGAAGCAGTAAAAAAAGGGGGGGAAGCATCTAAAAAGGTTATTCCATTTGAGTTGCTACTTCCATTTTGTGCAGAAAATGGAATATTTTAATTCCTCTGAAAGTAGAGGATTTGATACTTTTTCTCCACTGAAGCTAGCCTTCTTTACTCCAGTGGCACTTAAATTATTATAATAGTTTCGAGGCGAGAACTGTAGATTTCTAAAGGCGCATAACCAAACTCCTATTGTCAGATTTCTTTTCCTTATGCAAAATAGGAACAAGATTGAGTAACCATCCTAATTGAAAACTATTGTTTATGTGAGATACAATTCTGTTAAAGACAAGATGCTCACATACCCAGTTAATATTTACAAAAATAAAGGGAAGTTTTTCTTTAACTAAGGAAAGCTAATATCCCGCAATACAGCTGTGAGAATTTTTGTGAGCTGTAAGATCCTTTGTATAAGGACTTAGAATAAGAACTAATTAGAAGTAACTCTCTCTCATACTTAATAGGAATATAGAGATCTTCATATTTCCTGCATATTAAAATTATTTAAATAATCAGAGAGAATAGCAGATGGACCATATTGCCAAAATGTAATTTGGTAAAAACCATGGAGGTATGCAGCTTAGTTTAGAATACAGGGTGTAATGGAAGGAGCATTCATAGGTCCATCATAACCCCATCCAAAAAGCAGGTGTGTGCCAAAGGTGGGCAGTTGAATCAGGTAAAGAAAATCAGTCAAAGCAGCTGCTGTCATACCTGGGAAGGCAAAGCTACAGTCAGTTTTTAGATGGTCTCCAACATGGTGTCTTCAACTTGTCACCCACTGGGGTCTCTTGCTCTTCAGTTTTTTTTAAGTTTTATGCTTCTGATTTTCATTATTTCATTAAGTTTTGTTTTCTAATTTTACACACACGCACAACTGGGAGACTAGCATGCTGCAAAATGAAGTGTTGTCTTTTAGAGCTATTGGTTCTGTTTTTACTTATTATTTATATATATTTACATATATTGTAAATATGTTTTACAATACATATATTGTAAAGATGTTTTGCGGCTGACAGTCAAACTCCTTCCCTGCTCACTGCAGCCAGCAGCAGCACATGGGTGAAAGAGACGCAGCGAGCAGGCTGCACTGGCCACTGTTCCCACCAGCCAGCTCTCTCACCTTCTTGCTGGCGGCACCACTGCTGGTGGTGCACAGGAAAAAGGGACACAGCAAGCAGGCAGCTGCCACGGCCAACCTTCTTGCTTGCTCGCTGCCACCAGTGTACCAGCATGAAGGACACAGTGAGTGGGTCTGCTGGCAGCCATTCCCAGCGGTCAGCCTTCTTCTCAGCTCACTGCTGCCAGCAGCAGTGACGGGCATGGAAGAACGGCGCTGCTTGTGCAGCACTGAGGTGGGGGGTCAATTCCTACCAAGCGCTCCATGAATCCTTAGCATGCTTGCCAGGAACTCAAGACTCTGGGCTGTGGGAAGGCGGAGCTGATCCTGGGAAGCCGAAACCAGGGAATCCTGTGGATTTTCTGCCTAGAGCAGATTCCTTGCACATCCCAGGTTGAGGGTACCTTTTTGAGTGTGTCTGATTGCTATAAAACTGCAAATAATTCTTCTTAATGTGTCACTCTTGGAATATGTTCTTAATCAAGTGATTTTCATTCTTGTGTTCTTTGAAAGCTTATCAGGTTTTCCTTGATGACAAGATAGAATGGCATATAAACTTCCATGAAAGTTGATTTGCTTGCTACAACTGTGTGTCCACATCAGTGTACAGAAAAGTGTTGGCGTGTTCTCTGAGAAATAAGCGTGTGTCTTAAGGTGACATTAAGATCCAGTAGGGCTCACTGCACCCTGTATGAACTCTGTGCACATCCTAGAATATGCTCCAGAATCTTCTTGAGCCGAGAGCTTCTGCGGCTCCCATGTGGAAACAGACTTTCAAGAAAAAGATCATTTTCAAAGCACGACTGTGATCTTCAACCTAGAGGGAGGGAAAGATTGCTGCATAAGACGATAATCTGCCAGCTTCTTTCTCACGTGCAGCTTTTAATAACTTCTCACTATAACCTTTCTTCTTGCTTAGGACTTTCAGTGTTAAAACATGTTCTTACACCACGGGTGAAGGCTATACATGTTGCTCTCGATTCAATGAAGAACTACTTAGATGCGGTTTATGATGTCACAATAGCATATGAAGGTACTGTGGACCACAAAGGACAGAGGCAACAGGGACCTTCCATGACAGGTGAGTAGGTACTATATAATGTGCAACTATCTGTACACAAGATGGGATATACTAACTTGATTTCTGCTATGTGGAACTTGTCTAGTGAAACTGAGACCAGTGTCCACAAACTATAGCCCTCCAGATGCATGAGAACCTTTCTGTGTTTTTTTAAGTCCTGGGAAAATGGGAAGACTAGGTTTATGGGTGGTGGCACAGCACCCACATATATGCACAGCAAAGTATTCCAGGTAAAATTATTGCTTTGGTCCTACACGATACATCATTGGAAGCAGCCTCTTGTATCTTCAGGGATTTCCAGTGTTTTTGGTCCAGCAGGCCAGTTTGAAACTTGAGATCAAGCTGTGGGCATGCTCACAAGATGGATGCCATGTGGGGAGTTTCCTGTTCACAAAACAGCAATTATAATGTTTGTGGCCAAAACTCCCACTTCCCAGAAGGCAAACTACAGAAGCTAAATGAAAACCTTCTCAAGAACATAAGTATCAGGCAGAATTCCAAAACAAGTGGGACAGATTTGGTGATATATGGTTGGAGAATATATCTTTACTGGAAGGGGCACTTCAAATCAGAACCATGAACTGCAGTCACCCACCATTTTTATTTTCTAAAAATGCCTCCCTATTTTATTATTCTTGGAAATAAGATAGAATAATTCTGGAGCACTTTGCTTTACAGCATTCCAGCCTCCTGCTTGTTTAAGCAGCATGATGCTAATGGGTGGATTTTGAACAATTCTAATGAAGAAATATATAAATAAATTAAAATAATTAAAGATTTAAGAAGAGTAGAAGGGTACAGAACCTGACTGGCAGCAAGGGCAATGTCCACGGGCACCACACTGGAGATCCCAAACCTAGTTTCTAATGAGCAAGGTGGCCTTGAAGGCACTCCACTAAACATTTACATTGGAGCTCAACAGCTGACTTGCATAACAACCCTCAGTTCCATTGAATGAGTGCTGATTAATCAACTATGTGGTTATTTCCAGATAGCTAGTCATCATGCTCTTCTTCACAGTTAGTGATGTCGCTCTGGCCTCAAAAGATGTGAAACCATCACATGGCCAATTCTCATAATGAGTTTGGTTTCGCTTGGTCTGGTCTGGTCTACAAAGGGAGCAATCCTGTGGCCCTTAGACAGCACCTAAGGCACCACTGAACATTTGGATTCCCAAATCTTCGACCTCCTTTCCCCTTGCAGCTGGTGCAGAAGGAACCACAGCAGTTGCATTCAGGAAATGGACTTCAGGGAAGAGGAAGGGGTATTTTTGGATGGAGGGGAATAAATGCAGAGTTCAGAATGCAAACTGTCCTGACTTTGTTCTAGCTTCCTTCTCTACCCTTAGAAATGCTTTTGCTAGATGGGCAAAATGCCTAGTAAAAATGCAGGGTCTGAGGGTGGGGAAGCAAAGATCCTCCAGCCTTCCTCCTCTGCATGAGATACCTGTAAGCCTTCAAGTTTGTAATAGAATTGACCCCTAAACCTGGCAAATTATTATAAACTCAGCCACAAATATTACTTGTTTCCTTTAATTTGTTGGAAATGGTGCTATTGCAGTAGCCCATGTCTGTTGCCACCTATGCTTGTTTGATGGGGTTTAGACAGCATAATACCAATTACATTGTAGGTCTCCATCATAGAATTAGGCTAAATAGAGGTAGTACATTGTTTGCTAAAGCTAAACAGCCTGCTTTTAGCTTTTCTGGGTTTTGTGTTTGTTTTTAAAATGGCACCAAAGCATCTTCCGAGAGAGAGAAGAACAAGTGCAGATAGGGTAAGTCTTTGGAAGTCCTCTGGAGAGCATTGAAGGCTGTCCAGACTCCCTTTTGTTAAGGCAGAAATGTTCACTCATGAATATTAGCCACAGTGCTTTTTCAGCTTAAAAAATGACTCACAAATTTGAATCTCTTTGAAATGGTTGTTTGTAGGAGAAAGGGCAGCTTATATTAGGTGCTTGGAGCATTGTTGTTTTGCTTTCCCTGCATGTTCGGACTATAACAAGCTGTCACGTTCACTGAAACAAGTTGATAGCTTCCTTCTGCCTGTGGCTCTGCAATAAACATTCTTGCTTTTAGCATACTTTACATGCTTCCTTATGATCAGGACTTCTTCATCTTTCTAATGGCTAAGAATAAACTTCTTTGACATCAGACATAAAAATTCAATTCATGTAATGCTCTTGTACGTCTGTTAAGTTAGGAATCCGCACATTCAGTCCTAACTAGCCCATGTTCCCCTCCTGAGGTTGGAGCCGGAGAACCAAACAAGAGATTTCCGCTGATTTCTTGTCATTATCAAGCCTACTCTGGAGCAGTGACTATAGCAGAGGGGGAGTTCTTTCCTGCCCCTGTTCCATTGCTCAGTAAGGCATATGCAGAGGTAGTGTTTTGACTGGTAAAGGGGTTATAATCTGGCCCTGAGAGAATTGGCCACACACTTAGTGGCTTGCTATGATACATTTGTGAGGTATATGAAGATCAAATTGCCTTATCCAGCCTGCTTGGACTCCAGTGTTATGAAAATCTACTAATGAAGGTATCCAGAGCGCTTTCTCAACTGCATTGGCTTCCAGTCCATTTCTGATCCCTGTTCACAGGTGTTCACAGATGAATCTGCTTTAAAACACTAAGCAGATTAGGTAAAGCAGGGATACTAAGGCAGGGAACTACATTGCACTCCACCAAATCCTCCATGGGCTGGGGGGATATCAGGGATCATGGCCCACACCTGCTGTTCCATTCCTCAATGTCATCACCCTGTTCCCCGGTCTTTACCCATGTCCATGTGCTGGCTGTTTCATCTTGTGCCACTTGGCTGCCATGTGAAGTGGCTTAGCCTGCTCAGGGTACACTGGTTGCTGCAGGCCAAATTCTTAGCTTCTCAAGATGCCCTCATGGACTTCATGCCACACTAGAAATAACAACCACTCTTTTGGGCATGGGAAAAATTCCTACATGGGTGCCACACACTGTGTGAAGCTCTTCTACCAGTTAGAAGAAGAGGTGCTGTTTGTAGATGAGATGGCTTTTAAAATATGCCCTTATAGTTACCTTTGCCCAGAGGGTATTTGTTGTTGGACAGATTAAAAAGAAACAAATACTTTTGCTAGTTTAGTAGCTTACATCATTATTAGAATTAAAATTGTACTTTGATCTTTCTTTGTAGCTAATGAGTGAATTCTCCCCCCACAAAAAAACCCCTGTCTCTGTAAGCTGTTATGATTCTCTCCCACCCCACTGCACCAGTAGTTGAAATATTGGTATACTAATAGTTACAATCTCCTTGCCATTTATTCTATCATAAATAGTCTTAATTCTTCCTTCCGTTTCTCATGATTATGGTGCTCCTGCAAGCAAACACAGATGCTTGCTGATGTTTAGTTTCTGCTCTTTTATTTCATATGACTGAAATCTGTATTAGAAATAGTTCCTTTCACATCAGGCATGTTTTTCTTCCCATGAATGTTCTCTTAACACATTCTAGCCAGTTTCTGATTCACAGTAAGAAAGAAGTCCCTAATCAGAAGCTTGAGGTATAGTTCTTAATTATGTAGATCCATGTGGAAGAGAGTTTTGTTTTATTCCTGATTCTAAGAATAGCTTCCTGGAAAGTTTAGAAGAATGAAGCAGCCCATCAAATTCTGGTATTTCAAGCCAATATTCCTAGAGTTGGATGTAATTTGTGCTTAATGAATTGCTGCAATGAAGTTTAGTTTCTTTAGCTTAATTACATAAACCTTTGGGGAGTTGAGCTGATGTGAAATTAAGGGTCATGGGACTGAATAACCTTTAGTGGCTCTTATGATAGAATCCAGCTGTTCTTTAACAAAAACAGGAATGCTATAAATTGTTCTTATCCACTGGTAAGCTGAAGTAGCTACAGTGACATTGTGTCTTTAAAAAAAATGAATTGGTCTCTCTAAGAAGTACTGCATAATTAAAATAGTTCTTTGAAACTCTTGATTATATCCAGTTGGCCATTCTTGTAATGACACTGAAAAATGGGGTTATTATTTTTTGAAGTGATCTTAAGACAGAAAGCAAAATCACATGGGGAAAGAGAGTGGTTGTTTCTTCCACGAAGGCTTACAGGCTTTTAAAGAAAAAAGGAGCAGAGTTGCCATAGGACACTGCCGCTGTGGAATAACATTGTGCACTCCTTTTTGCTTCATGCTAGTTCTGCGGCACTGACAGGGTTAAGATTGCAACCCAAGTCCATGCTTTTCTGTGATTCACAGACCAGAGTGATACTGGGATGGAAGGCTGTCGTGCGTGATTTTGACAGCCAGTCAATGGATTTCGCCATCGTATTAGTTATATGGTGGGAACATTGATTTATGCTAATATAACATCAGCACTAGTGCTTGGAATAATGGAAGACTGGGCAGAGGTGTATGAGGTGGGAGAACAGCATTTTTTCTATAAATTCTTATACTAGAGTTGGGACAAACCTTTTTGGAATCCATCCCTTTCCATAGACTTTCTCTTGTGATTGACCTGGTCCTGCGAAGCAAGCCAAACCAAGAGGAAGTCCATGAACACTTGTAGACCCCCCAGTTGTGCAACCAGCAGCCTTGTCCATTAGCACTGGCTGCAGGATATAGCACTGAGGGCGGGCGGGCGGGCAAGCCTCCGTTCGCAGCAACCTGTCTTTCCCCCCACCCATTGCTGCCAGGAAAGAGGCACTGCGAGCTGCCATGCCCAGTAACCAGCCTTCTTCCCCACTTGCTCCCTGCTGCTGGTGCCATGTGGGGGAAAGGGGCATTGCTTGCCCAGTGTGTGGGGCTCAATGAATGAACATGGGGCACACTCATCAGGAGCTTGGACTCTGGGCTTTCTGCAAAGTGGAAAGGGAGCCCAACAAATCCAATGGATTCCCAGCCACAAATAGATGCCTCACGCATTCCTACCTTGTGCTTTTCATAGAGGTTACTAGTGGTGAAGTTGAATGAGAAGAAACACACATTATGAATATTGCTGCTCAATATTCAAACCTTGGATGATTTTTCTAAAATTGGTTTCCTTTGTAAGAGTGCATAATTGGCATGCTATCCCTTAATTTTTACCATTCATTTTAATAAATAACAGTGGGATGGTGGGGCGAGGAAGTTCATTATGTTCCTTTGGGTTTCAGCATTTCTTTGTAAGGATTTCCCAGGAATCCATATTTATATTGACCGTATTGAACTAAAGGATATTCCAGAAGAACAGACGCTTATGAAAAGATGGCTTCATGAACGTTTTGAAATCAAAGATAAGTAAGTAAAGAAGTGAACTAACTTTGCATCTAAAACATTATTAGATCAGTATGGTATTTCCCCCTAAAACACAAAAAAATAAAAGTTACCTTAATTGATTTCTGTAAACTGCTGATATGTTTTGTTGCAGACTTTTTTTGCAGAAATAACTGCTGATGCTTGAGAATTTAATGTACAATACATAGGTTGTATGGGACCAAGCTTTGGATTTAGATGTGGGAAGAAGAGGTTTGAATTTTCATTCAGCTAATAAGTTTACTAGCTGCTATGAAGCAGATCACCATCTCTCGGCTTCAGTTTTTTCTGGTGCAAGGCATTACAACATGGAAGCAGAGATACCAGTGTTCTTGCAATGCCAGGCTGAAATGCCCACCAAGCTGTTTTCCTTCCTGCAAGTGGATGATTAATGGAATGGAGGGAGGGAGGGAGGAGGAAAAGTCAGATAGGAATGAACAAATGAAAAAGAGAGACAGAGGGAGGGGAAAAAGAGAAAGAATGGAATGGAAGTAAGGCAGAAAAAGTGAGAAAGCAATGCCAGAGGGAGGGAGGGGAACCAGAGAAAAAGGGGGGAAGGAGCCATAGGTAGAAAAGAAAGCACAGCTAGAGAGGAGTTAGAGAGAAAGATGTGACAGAGGAAATGAGAGAGAGAAGCCAGAGTGCGCACATACAGGGATCACGTTCTTGCATACACAGATGAGAGGATTACCTCAAATATTTTTGTGAGCATTCCTGGTATAGCAGTTAAGTCAAGGTAGCCTTCAAAAATGGGAAATTGGCCCACAGTCTGAAAGCATTGGAAACACCTGCTTTAATGGGTGTTTCAGGTATAAAATGCCCTGAGGACTGCAAAGCACTATATTCAGGAGTGGGGAGCTTCTTTTGACCCGAGGCCAGAGCTTAATTTGGAGAGGCTCAGAAGTAAGCATAAGCATTATACTTACTCACAAGTAAGCAGGGCAAGGCTCAGAAAGAAGCAGGCCTGAGTCACTGGTAGCTTCCTTCCCTCAGCCTGCTACCTCTCCTGCCTCCAAGGGAAAGAGGCAGTGATAAGAGTGTTTTCCTTGTTGGCAGAGGGACAAGGCCAAGAGAGCTTTGGGACAGGCCGGGAACCCCTAAGGGCCTCATACGATGCACAGGCTAAAAGTTTCCCATCCCTGTTTTACTGGATATATTTTAAGACCAGAATAAATTGATGAATGAGAAAGTTGACCTGCTTAGGATTTTTGCTTGAGAATGACGAGACATATTTGATGTATAGCCTACCTGAACAAAACTAAACTATTGCCCCTTTTACTGGAATCCAGTTTGCTTAATGGTTTTGTTTTTGTCCACTTAATAGTTTTGTTTTTGTATACTTAAGGACAATAAGTGTGACTGATTTATATAGGGAACTTTGACAATGTGTGAGATGCGTCCTTACCATTTACTCATGCTGTTTATGGGTGATTAGAAAGATCTACTCAAAATATTCAATAGAAGTTGTCAGGTTAGCAAGCTGCATATTAAGAATTTGGGATCAAAGCCAGGTATGGAGCCATTCTTAGGCAATAGTATTCATGACAAATAATTATTTTTTTTAATGAATTCCCCTTACTAAATGGTCTCTCCCTCCTCTGACCCTTTCTTTTTTTCTTTTTCTTTTTTTAACTTTCTTTGTTTCTAGGTTACTAATAGAATTCTATGAGGCAAAAGATTCTAAAAGAAGAAACAAGTTCCCTGGGAAAAGTGTTCAATCCAAACTAAGTCTCAAGAAAACTTTGCCATCCGTACTGTTTTTAAGTGGCCTGACTGTTAGTATGCTACTGACAGAATCCGGAAGGCAACTTTACATAAAAACATGGATATATGGGACTTTATTAGGTTGTCTGTGGGTCAGTGTTAAAGCATAAGTGGATTCTGAGCCTGCAGTCAGTGACATCATTGTTCTGTCTTGCACATCATATCAAACTCTTCCCTGAATTTATAAACACAAATGTAAATAAAGCCTTATTAATGGATCATTGGATAAACTCAGACTTCTGACCTATATCTACTATAGTTGGAGTGGAAAATATGGATATGAAATTATGCTCCTGATTTTTGAGACAAAGCGGTAGATAACCAGAATTTCATTTAGTGCATTTTTTCCTCCACAAACAGATATCTATTTGCACATGATTCAGCAGAATGTGTGCTTAAATAGCTTAAGTGAACCAGTGAATGTATTTACTGACATTACTTTAAGATTGTGTATTTATTCCTGACCAAGTTTTGTTATTTTCTAGTTCAGCACAACAACTATATCACAGCTGCATCACAAACTAAAAACCAAAGCTAATTATCTACCAACATTTTTTTAAAAATTTAATTCAGATAAATTTGTTAAATTTGCAAAACAAAAATGGTAGAACATGGAATGCAATGTTTGAAAAAACAAGGAGGGCAAAAACTGTTCATGGGATAATGGGTTTAACAAATGCATGGAATTTTGATTGCATTGTATCAATCAACTTCAGTTTTCTTTGCAAAGTGTTTAGTCTTTTCCACACACTGCTTAGACACTTTTAATTGAACACACTACATTATTGCATAAATGGTGATCTACGATATGTACAGCCTGAGGCTGTCAGCTGTAATCTCCCTAAGCCAGATTCCCAGAAGCTTGTTGGAAAACTTCTGCTAACCTGTGAGATATGTGCCATAAACCACGTGAACAGCCCAAAGCTTCCTCTTCCCTCAGGATTGTGTCACACAGAATGTTTTGCTTACATCGAGATAATCATTTTCTAAGCAAAAAATGCTTATGAACACAGGTGGATTTTTTTTGGTGAATATACTAGTTAGGAAATGAATGATGGAGGGGCAAATATAATTAGTGAAATAGTCCTGAGTTGTCTGGAACCATACATACGGAATTCAATGAACCTCACTGAGCAATGCTGCTATGCAGCTGAGGATATATTTCTGGTAATAAGGAACATCCATGTATTCTTGCCAAAATGTAAAGTATGTGCCTTTGTCTACTGATTCTGAATTTAACCTACTCTTTCACAGTCTAATAATTAACTAGTGAGTAATCTAATTTTCAGTACTTCCAAAGCTTTCACAGTTGGTGTGCATGTCTAATGAACTGAAAAATCAAGAACTTGAAGTATGCAGTTTGCACTATAGAATAATGAGAGATGCATATATTCTATTACTATTTCACCAGCTCATAAATGAGCTTGCTCACTATTTGGTAATATATTGGAGCCTACTGATGTTTCAGGGCTAATTATTCTATACCAAGTATGTTAAGAGATTCCTATTTCATATATGTTGTTTTGTACAACTATGAAGATTCCACTATCAAAAGGGGGGAAGATGGGAGGTTTTTTAAAAAAAAATCCTGAATTTTTCAATCCCAGTTTCTGTTGGCTTTAATGGGGCTTGAATTCTTTTACGATCTAGCATGAACTAATATGATTGTTCAACTTTTTAAAAAATATTAAATGTGTTTGCCTCTAACTATAATAGTTAAGCCATATCTTGTTCTTGTGCATTTTTCCTAGCAATGATATGGTATAATTACAAACTTCATTTCAAATATTCATCCACTTCATCAGTTCATTTTCAGTTTTGCATCCTGGTTGCTAAAGCTGACTCTCTGCAAAACAAAAACTTTTTTGTGGCTAAGAATTAGTTGTCATTCATTGTTATTTACACCTTCAGAATTGCTTTTCAGCTTTTAATATCAAGATTTTGAAAGAATCATATCTTGTAGTTCAGACAATACAAATACCATTAAATATTTGAACAAAAACAAACTGCTTATGTTCAATGAGACAGAACTTATTTTTTTATGGGAGCTTCAGTCACCAAAACTTTTGACTGTTCAATTGCAGATTGCCTGGAACTCAGCACTTCCCATTAATATTTTTGGCATGCTGCTATATATAACTTCCCCCACAATTCATTTATTTTAAAATTCTGTTCATTTGAGGCATTGGCTTGTTTTATGGAATGAGCAAATACTAATTTATCCTTTTATAAATCAATACGGTCATTTAACATTTTATGTTCCCAATTAGGCAGGTTCTATTTCATTATTGGCCATTTAACCCATGCTGACTTGTAGTACATGTGATTATCATTTTGAATATGCGTTCCCTAGTTGAGTTTGTAGCATATCATAAGATCTGATTATTGTGGGGGTTTTTGAGAATTAAACAATTTTTACATAGCCCTGCTACTAATTGAGGGTTATACAAGGGTTATTTAACTCTCAGATGACCTACAACAGCCAGGTTCACACACCACAACCCATGATTGCAGGATGTATATTCACAACTGTGGCTGCATGTACTGCAACTGACTGGATAACCTGCCATGTGCAAATTAAGCCTGTATGTTGTATTGGACATGGATGTGCCAATGCTACCTTTAGCATAAATGGGTTGGATGGCGAAAAGAAATGTAGGAACACAGAATATGGGCCAGAATCCAGTTTTTTAGTGGCTGCAGGAAGACCCTCAGCATCCTGCAGACTTGTTTTCTTCCTCCTCATAATGAGCAAATATGAATTGAATAAAATGAGAAGTGAAAATGTGCCTAATTTGCATCACTTATATATAATTATTTTCCTTGCTGAGCTATACAGTGGTACCTTGGTTCACGAACTTAATCTGTTCCAGGACTCTGGTTGTGACCCAAATTAGTTGTGACCCAGGTCAAATTTCCCCATAAGATTCATTGTAAATAAGGCTAATCCATTCTGGCCCCTCCGAATGTGGTTGTGAGCCAGTTTTTGGTCATGAGCAAGGTCAAATTTCCCCATAAAGTTAATCCGTTCTGTAACTTTTTAATCAGAAATTTTGAAACAAAGTGAAAAAAAACGAAGTAAAAAAATACTGTTCAGTACAATGGAGAACACTAACCTAGGTGTGGGGGGAGGAGGTTATTGTTTTGAGGGAGTGTCCCCCTCCATAAGGACATTGGGGAGATCTCTTTCAGGGGTTTCCTCTCTTCTTTGTCACTTAGCTGCAGGGTCAATTTTGGTGGAAAATCTGTGTATAGTCACTTGTTTTTTCCTGCACTGCATAACCCTCCAGAAATGAGAGACCACATTATTGTTCATCAGATTCAACACTGTTCGTTACAGTTATGTTGGGGTGGTGCTTCTCAAAGACATCCTGGCATGGGCATGCTCCTGCAGGAAAGACGCACACAATCTTAGCCATCTCCCCACCCCACACTCCGAGTGGGGTAATGGCCACGATCACAGTTGTGTTCATGCAGGGAAGATGTGCGTGATCACAGGCGTGCTCCTGCAGGAAAGAAGGGCGCAACACAACACAGCCGCAATCACACATGTGTTGCCTGCACGGACGCGACTGCGATCGTTGCCAGCTCCCCACTCGTGGGGGGGGGAGATGGCTGCGATTGCGCCCGTCTTTCCTTCAGGAACGTGCCCGTGATCACGCACGTCTTCCCTCTACGAACGCAACTGCGATTGTGGCCATCTTCCCACTCGGGGGGTGGGGAGATGGCTGCGATCTTGGTCGACACCCAAAGCGGAGTTCACGACCCAAGTCAAAATTTTCACGAAATTTTTGTTCGTGACCCAATTTGGTTGTGAACCAAGGCATTTGTGAGTTGAGGTACCACTGTACTTTGTACACAGTTTATCAATATACTTTATACACAGTTTATCAGTATGCATATGTTTTTGTATGTCAAAATCACCAATTTCTTCTAAACATGACGATTTGTAGAGAAACGTGGCAATGTGTTTCTCATTACTATTTTATACTGTTGTTTATCCCTATAAATGAGCCCTTGTGTGGTGAAGCAGGAATATAATTCTGGATTACATTCTATCATGATAAGAGACCACTTCAAATGTAACTTCCTCACACTGAGACAATCTGTTGAGGGTCAAGACTGTACCCCATGGATCCTCAAACTACAGCCTGTGGGCCGGATCCAGCCCACCATAGAGGTTTTGGGCTAGCTGGCTTGCTCGCAAGGAGATCATTTTGGACCTGCTCGGAGAAAACGATCTCCGTGCACGCCTGCCCCTGCCTCAGTGCACGCGTGCATGTGCGCCCCCCACCTGGCCCAGCCTGTGCCCCCCCACCCACACCACCTTGACGGCCAGCGCCCATTGCCAGCACCTTTCAACTGGCTCCCTTTTGAAAAAGTTTAAGGACCCCTACTGTACATAGTCAGCCCAAATATATGCTCAAAATTCTGTTGTAAGCATATTAATGAAAATACAGGTCTTTTAAAATTTTAATCTATCCTGTCCTAGCAATATGAATTCTCCCTAACATGGAGTGGGGAACATCACAAGAAAAAAAAAAGCAGGAATTTAGAAAAGTTTGGGCATTGCTTTCTAAGTTGGCAAAAAAAAGGGGAGGGGAGAGGATGGCAGGAGCAGAAATGTTCTTGTTCTTCATTGTGTCCTGTGTGCATCACACATTGTGGGGGCAGCACCTGCGCAGTACCCGTTGCAGGGATGATTAAACAGCTTTAACGGTTTTGGCAGGAACTCCGTGCCCTCCCCCCATAGTATAAATGGGTGGAGTGCCCGCCATTTCCCCAGTCTTCTTGCGACCACCGTTTGCTGTGCCTTGAGCCTTTCGCTTGCCTCTCATAGCTATATTCAAAAGTTTTACTGTTATTCTCTTGACTTTATAGATTCTCTCATCCACTTAACCCAGGTTATACCCTATCCAATCCTCCCCATTGAAAAGCTTTTCCCCCTTTCCCCTTCTCAATAACAATATTTTTAAAAAAATAAACCCTTCTATCGTTGTTCTGTTGTTCCAATTCTTCTCTCGTTTGCTGTTTCCTATCTCTCTCTCTTCAATGGCTCAGTGGGTGGCTTTCCACAAGTGTTCCCAGTGTGGGGCTAAAGTGTCCCTCACTGATCCTCATGACCTTTGCCTTCTGTGTTTGGGAGAAGGTCACAAGACTGATAAGTGTGACCATTGCCAGTCCTTTACCAGGCAGGCCCCCAAGAACTGGGAAAATC